CTCCAAGATTAGGACTTGTGAAACTTTCTAGGACTTAAGTGTTGAACACCTTCACCTTGGTATATTATGATTTAAAATTTCAATGTTTTTATTATATATGTAGAATGGTGCTGACGAGGAACCCGAACCAGAACTAGAGCCAGAGCATGAGTATACACCCGCATGAAAAGCTCTAAAGCTTAAGTAGTGAGTTCTTTATCTTTTTAAAACTGAATAATACCATAATACATATCTTTCTTTTATTATTATTAAAAATATCTGAAATCTTTATCTGGGATTATTCATGCATTATGGTTAGGATTGTTCACTATTTGGATAAAACCGAATTATCCAATTGTACAATTTAGATTGGGTTATTCGGTTTGCATATTCGGATTTTTGGATTGATTTTTAACCACTACTAGAATAACAGCCTTTTACGACACGCAATGCGTATCAAGGAAGGCCATGTCATAAAGGAAGACAACACGCATTCGCGTGTCATAACCTTACGACGCGCATGTTAATGACACACAATGCGTATCAAGAAATCCCCTGTCAAGAAAGGCCATGTCATAAATGAAGATGACACACATTTTTGCGTATCATAATTTTAAATGTTAATTTTTTTTATAGATTTACGCATTTTCAAATTAAATTTGCATTTAATGCCTCATAATAGAAAATAAAATATCATATACCAAAAATATAATCCATTTCATAAAATTTAGTGTCGTACAAAATATCATATAGAAAAAATAGAATCCATTGCATAATATTTTATTACAAATTTGACATTTTTTTTTGTTTCCGTACTTTGACAATTTGTGCTACTGCTGATTCCGGAGCCAATTCGCGACTCCATCACTTGAAATTACAAACCGCCCACCAGCAGAAGATAGCTGAAGATCATGAATAAATAAAAGTTGTTAATAAAAAGAGGAATAAATTGAGTTTAATTACTAAACTAACCTTCACTTGTTTGACATGAGGAACTGGAATAATGAACTCCCCACCATCTCTATCTCCAATAGATCTTGAAAGGCATAACCCACCTCGACGACATTTTAAAGGACCAATCTATCATAAATATAAAAACATTGGTAACTTAAGTAAAAACATTGGTAAGTTAAGTAAGATCCCATTTAAGTTGTAGCATATGCAAGAACAATTTGACACTAGTCAAATGTGCTATCTATGGAACTCCAGGATAAAAAATTTTCTACGATGTAACAATAAATAAACCTATTCAATTAGTGAAATGATGGATATGTTTTAAAGGAGATTCACTTTAGCAATATTTTCAAGTTCTTCCACAACATGATCAAGTTCCTGCGCCAACATCATATGATATCACTATTTGGACATATTAACATACTTTGACTTTCTTTTCAGTCTTTCCAAGATTTTACTTATTAAGACATAATGTTTTTTTTTATAAAAAATGAGAATAATATCATACGCTTGCTTGCTAAATCAGCTCCCTGCTCCAAAACTTTGAAGGATAAAAAAAGACATAAGGTCCCTCTTGATCCTTATCATTAAATGCAATACAAATGACAAGAAACAAGAATAAACCTGCAAAGATGCATGCACTGAAAAATTAGGGACAAATTTTATAGTTGTGAATGATAAGTAACGTTTCAAGATTTGTGCTGATGAACCCATCCCTTGAAGCATGAGGGCAACCTGGTCAAAATAACCAAAGGAAGAGTCAGGAATATCATTATTATATAAATAAAGAGAAAAAATAGAATTAATAAATAAGAACACCGTTTACAATTGTTGTTCAAGTATAGAAGTTGTTTCCTTCAGACTTCAATCTTGCAACCTGTTATTCTGCCAATTATTATTCAAGTTTGGAAGTTGTTTCCTTTAGCCTCGACTCAACCTTTAAAGAAATAAGAACACTGTTTACAATTTCAAATTAATATTAAACATGAATTAGCAATAAGAATACCATTTCTAGATAGAATAAACCATCTGAATCAGACCGAATTACCATTTTACCCTTACATCCGAAAAGCAAATTTTGCAATATTCATCAATTCTAATGTGGGGAGTTGGAAGGATAAAAGAAGATGGGAAAAAAGTTAAATGGTTATTGTTTTGATACATTAGGCCAGCTGTATTTAAAAAAACATAGATGCCCATGTTTAGTGCTTAACTCATCAAATCCATTAAGTAAAAAAGCAACAACCTCATAATATCATACAAAGCTTTAGAAGCATCAGAGGAGCTTAAAGCAGTTGCAGAACTATCATTTGCTTTGCAAACAACACAATTTCCATAAAAACATAGATGCCCATGTTTAGTGCTTAACCCTGCAAGTCCATATAATAACCATTCTGACAACAAAAAATGGAAAAGTAAATCAATATTACATTTACATTGCTTTATTTTAATTATGGAAAGCCATAAGTATATAATGTTACCATTGCTTTATCACTGCAGAAGCACCAAATCATTGCCTTGCAAGCCCATATGCAAGTTTTATTCTTGTATCTATTGTATATTGTTCCATTACAATTACTGATTAATGTAAGCAACATTAAATTTCATTGAATTATAAGTTTAGCCATTAAAAGCATTACATACCTTATCTATGATCTTCTCTTCGTAGAGAATTTATGAACTGAAAATACTCATTGATGCACCCAAGCTTAATGAAGATACTGCCATCTCTGGATCTATACAAACTTGTGTGTACGACCCAAATAGAAATTTGGTGGAAAGGTAATGCTCATAATGACTGTTACAGAATCAAACAAGATATTATTCTTGTACAGGTACTCAGGGACACAGAAGGCAACTGTTGCTGGCAAGGCTGGTGGAGATGCTTGATGTCTGCCTGCTTGCCTGCTCTTTTTTATTTTTCAGTGAGACCCTTGTTGACTTTCTATTGACTTGAATTTAACTTTTTTTCTTGTGCCTTTATGTTAAATCTTTTTTTTTTCTTGTGTCCCCCCTTCTTAACTGATAGCAATCTCCTCAGTCAGGGTCTCTAATATTTTTATAAAATCAAAAAAATATAGAAAGTATTATAGATATGAAATAGTGAGTGAGCCAGGTTAGATTTTAGGAGAGTATAATTTAAAGGAAGTAACTAGTACCTAAGTTGCATTGGATTCTCTAATAGTAGTAGTCAATCCATGCCATGCTTTAGGGAAAACTTCATCAGTTTGGGTACCCCACCACACAGCTAACATGGGGAGGAGGTATGTGCATCATTTGGATTTCCTCATAACTGAAACGATAAACAAAATTGTTAATATAAAGTGTTCAAAACCTTAAAACAAGGGCCTACTTTATAAACCTGAAGGAAATAATTGTCTTATACAAGTTTATACTATTGATGGAGCTACAATTATCAGATGACAGGTGGAAACTTGAAGGTTGATGATGGTGGTGTGCAAGATGACTGGTAGTGTTCAGAGACTATTTGACCCAAAACAAGATTCGAAAAGTGTTACCTTGTCAACATGTTGAGTTTGTGAATTAAATAAGAAAGTGTTACCTTGTCAACATGTAAAAGTTTGTTTAACTATATTTACAATTTTTTTATTAAGTAGTAGGATGAAGGATTCTTGAGGTTGAATTCTTTCTGTTGAGCTAACTGTCAAGCAACACTATGATCAAAGAAATAAAGCCCTGCTATCATAAGAGCTGGGATGAAGGCTGCAAAGATGTATGCAGGGGGGACTTTACTCATATCATGTAGTTAAATTTTAAGGGAATTAAGATCTAATATTGAAGTTTAATCATATAAAATGAATAAGAAAAATCGAGGGGGGGGGGGGGGTGGTCTTTTATGTTTTCCTCTTCTGGACAAATTTTATTGTCTGCTCCTAAAAGCTCATGTCATGTCAAATCCACTATAATAAGAAAAATAGCAAAAGAAAGTAGAAAATTATAAAAGAAAGAAATGGAAGTAGATGAAAAATGAAACCTGAACAATGTGATGCACGATCTTTCCGGGGACCATTTTCTGCTTCAAAAGCTCACTAATAAGTTTGATGTTTCCAAGTGTGCGAAGTTTAATCATTCGTACCAGTACCACTTCTCTTATATTTTTGTGTCTTAATTATCTTTGGTCTTCCCTTATATTAAGAAAATATCACATAATCTAAATTGTTATTATTTAGCTGAAGAAATTTTAGTTAATACTAATAGATACTTATGATTGATTACTATATAATATACATATGAGGGAGGATATATGTTTACACTTGCTACAAGTTCATAATTTGTGAATTGAATCTTACACTTTGATATGTTCTCACTAAAACAGGATTCTGATTCATGATACAAATCAGAATCTTGGCTAAAGGGTGTGTACAGAAGGAAGCGTTACTTCAGTTGTTTCATAGGGTGTAATGTAAAACGAGCATCTATCTGAATATACTTTTATAGATTTTTTTGGAAAACTAGTTGCAAGTAGGAAAGAAGGAAGCGTTACTTCAGTTGTTTCATAGGGTGTAAAAATGATCCTTAAGTTTGATTGGGATCTAGAGACATCAGTAGGGCATGCAGACCACGCTAGCCTCAGAAGAAATAGCACGTCCAATGCAGCTTCTTGTGTTGCTTTTGAGCCAGTTTTGAGTGATGTCACCAAATGTGGGATGCTTAATGTTGCGGGTTTAGAGGCTCTTAAACGTGGGAAGTTTCCGAAAAGTGCGTTTAGGGCTTTTAAATATTCCTCATGGACTGTTCTTATTTCCCATAAATCTTTTTCGATAGTAGCTGCAATAAAAGATGAAAGATCAGCAGAAGGAGATAAATTAAAGGCAATATAGCATTGTATTTTCAATTTTTACTTATTAAGATTTACCGGTTATAGCTCTAACAGTCTCACTAGATGCATATTCTTGGATGGTATTGTTGGAAAAAAGAAGCTTAATAAACATTGCAGCCTGAATCGATGTATCCGTATCACCCGAACCAATCAAATCAAGCACAACCTGAACCCCTCCAGCTTTCGCAACCGCTCTTTTATTCGATCAACTATGCATCACAAGATTCTACAAAGCACAAATCGCCACAACTTTCATCTCTTCAGAAGGTTGGTCTTCAAGCAAATTCACCAAAGCCCGATACGCAACAATCGCATCAGCAGATCGCGCCAAAGTCTCATTCTAGAACAAATCCCCAAGAGTAAGAGTCGCTAACAATCGAGCCTGTTGACCTTGAGTTTGTGTGAATAGAGGTATCTCTGATACGGTAGGCCATATATCATCAAGTGGTTGCTCTTGTTCAAGTTCTTGAGAACTTGTCTCAGTATATGAAGGTGGAGAAACAGTTTGATCAACAGACCGACGAGAAGTTTTAGAGACAGGTGGCATGTTAAAGATAGTTCTTGAGAATCTTGAAAATCTTCTACATGTGCCTTCTCTGATTGGGTCTTCGGAAATCTAAAAGAAGATTTGTCTATTGGGTCTCTACGAGTTGAACTTCTTAGTCCTTCTTTATAAGGGCTCTGATCTTTTTCCTTGTTATTTGTCTCAGTTGGGAATGTAGGTGCATGCTTACCAAATCCATGAAGGGGGCACATGTAATCAAAATCAAACACAGCCATACTTACTCCAACATTAGTGCTCCCAGATTTATTCATATTGTGAACTGTTTCCAGTTGATCAATAAAAACACTTGGGGGGTGATGTGACAGGTGTTGATGCAGATTCTGGAACCACAAATGGATCATCCATTGCTTTAGACGAGATTGCAT